GTTGAGACTCTCGTGAAAACCAAATTGATTTGCACGTGAGTGTATTTCTCGGAAATTGCCGCTAAGGTTTTTGCACAGTGTGCCCTATTTCAATGTAATCACACCATATCGGTGGAATTGAACTGCTTGGGAGTATAGACGAGACAAGTGACAATAGTCCTCATGTGACAAGGCTGCTAAACGCACACTACTCGGGGACCAAGGGTCAGATGTTTTCGTAGATGAACAAAGTCCGAACTATCCACGCTAGCATTAATACTACACAGTTTCCTATTGTGAAAAGTACGTTTTCACTGTGGAGTGACAATTCTTTCAACTCTCAAGTTAATATTTCTAAAAAATCTGTTCAGGTTGGCTGACCCGATCCAGAGTTGGAACTTAATTTTTTTTCTCTCGGCTAAGGTTTATCGGGTCACAAAGGTAAACCATTGAATTGCACAACAAGGGGTAGAAAACATCGTTGGTCTTTGGTTTTTTTAGTGCTCCACGAACGGTGTTTGTAAGTAAAAGCACGGAGAGAAAAGGTCGGAAGGTATAATGTGTATGACGCAGACGGAAGTACAGCGTAATCAATTATTTTGGGCTATGGGCTTCCAAATATCCTTGTGTCTAAGTAGCTTCATCTAGATCGGTGCCTAAGATGACAGAGTAAGGTAATCAATTAGCTGTAACACCTTTCGCTGCCTAGCTGCCATGCCATCAAGAGGGAGCACGAGGGCTGAGATACTGTCCAAGCCTAGACAGCGAAATTTGAGAGGCTGAGATCGGATTCGAACCACGGACCTGTCAATCAGTAAATTTGCGCTATAACCATCGAGTCATCTTGTCCGCTTCTACCGAGTGATACGATTGATTTGAAAGTGGGTGAAAACGGACCACTGTAGACTGATAACTTTGGTTAGTACAGAGTTGATAATAAACCTTTTCTAATGTTTTATTATTCTGCTTTTGTATATAATTCCAAGTGATAATCTAGAAATAATAACTAACAACATTAATTCACAATATATTCAAGGTGTTTGAAACATTTATTAGACGCAGTTAAACATTATTCATCAGAAAGATAAAACTTAGGAACAATAACCAGGGAACTCTGCCAAGAAATAACGAATTTCTTGGGGTGTTCCATTTCAAAATCACCCATTTTCATGCTTCCTTAAAGAAGACAGACGTGCATTCAACTGTATTGACGCTCACTACTAACAGGTAATAAGTAGCACCCTTGGAAACGAAAGATGACAAACTTCGAAGAATTCTCGTCGGAGAAGATGTTAGACATCAGGTAATGGGATATAAGTTCCTCATGTCTAAAATAAATGGTGATGCATTCTGGAAATCTGGAAACGGGCTACCTACACACCTGTGACCGGAAGGCAGCGCGCTCGGTTTATTGTCATGGAGGTGGCATGTTCAACTTTGCTCCGGAATCCACAAAGTTGCTTTGATGGTGATTCCAAAATAATTCAAGCCACGTTAAAATGATTCTCAGTCTTTCTGCACTAGCTTCAACCATTTGACGGGAAGAAATCGACATGGCTTCTTAGGATTCCAGACTGTTGATTCTTCGTGGGCCACCATCACAGTGAAGCGCGGGTAATAATCTGGGACAATCTGGACAATCTGGGACTATTTCCCTGTTGCCTGGAAATTAATGTATCATTAGGATTGCCCGAAATGGTTAACGCAACTCATCACATCAACGGGAAAAAAACACACGGAAAAACAACCTTTGAGGCCATAAACACCTCCATTGTCTCTGACTAAAAAATAGTTCTTTCGTTCGGCTGAAGCGAATTTTAGACAGCTCACCAAATCATTCTCCAGGAAGTCAGCAGCTGGGACTACTCGCCCACCCAGCTTTTCTCTTCACTCAACATCAGATTTGACGTATGGATCAGGCTGAATTCAAACTAACGGGTGAGCCAACAGAAACACCAACCGAATCTCTCCAACACATGCTTTTCTATTTTCAGAAGAGGTGAGTGTAACTCACCCATCCCAATTTTATGGGAATATCAGTTGATTAGTTCACAATATGCCTGGTTGTGTAGTCTGATAGGTTTATCTTTTTAGAAAGATTATAAGTAGTTTCGTTTCGTATGTCAAAACTAATGCTGTCCCTATTGAGTCTTCCTTCTCTTCTTACGCTCCAAAATGAGCTACAACCATAAACAGCTATCTGGGACCACTTTGGACCATGTACACCTAACAGCTGAGCGATTACAGCATTACATGTAACTTCATCTTCATCCAAAGCATCCGCGTGAAATGCTCGATTACGAGCGGAAAAGCGTTCATTGTGTGCGGGACCCTTGGAGCACGAAATGCCGAATACTCAATATGCCTTCTGGTCTTAGCAGCCAGAAGCTGATCAGCAAAGTGGATAAACCGAAACGGTCCTCATAAGTCAAACGGATTTTGCACGATTATTTCGAAGGCATTCAAAATGTGACTCGATCTAAATCTGTCACCTTGACGTGATGGTCGGGTTTGAGTGTCCCGCGGGGCCCCATTTCCTAACGGTTCAGCCGTACTAGAAAGGCCAGCGGGGAGCATCTAGACAAAGCAGTAAGTCCCCGTACTACTACAGCCTTGGGAGAAAGTCGTACCGTCCTTTGCAATGGGAACTTGACGTCAATAAGGGGTCTACTCCAATATACCTACATTTATNCCTATCAGAGGAAGAGCGGATTAGAAAAGCCTGGCCACAGAAACACTGCGCACTGCGACCAATCAGTGGTTGACATTGACCGCCGGCTCATTACTTAATACGGTCAAGATACTTCCAAAACCATATTATCCGGTGCTGCTCAGAAGGTGCTCTTTGCGTACAGCCGCATTAGGAGTCAAACAGTTATGCCGTACTCCTTGCGCCCTCGGGATGGGTGAACTTCTCAGATCCAAGTGGGTTAGATTGCCGTGTCACTTGCCTCCCAAGAAACCCCAACAACGTTCGCATCGCTGGTCAGACTATTGAGTGGGCACGGCCTCGGAACGGAATTCTACCTCCTCCCATTGCTTTGTGCGTCAGACTCTTGAGTCAAAGGCTTGAGGCGAGGCACATTAAACGGGCCCTTCTTGTTCAAGGTGAGCAACAGGTCCATGCAGCATGGTGGCAGCGGCTAGCTTGCTGAATCTTCCAAGGCTCATCAACCACATTTACATCCTATGCCAAGGCAACCCCGTTTGCGACCCCCTGTCTGTCCAAAATGAGGCAGTATGCTATGTTTTGGTTTACGGCTGTGAAACCTTGCTGCTGTTTGTTGACAAGGGAGGTTTGATTTTCCCTGAAGACCGGTGGTTTTGATGCACTGCATTTGTATTGCATTGACATCGAATTAGAAATGCCGAAATGCAGTGAGTGGATCCCGGCAACACAACCAAGTTCTCGTCTAATCGACAGATTTATTCGTTTACATCAACCGCATTGGCTTCACCAAGTAGTCCAACTACCTCGTGTCCACTTGTTTGCTGAGACAGTCTTTGAATTCATGATTCCACAAGGGATACAATCCATGACTTGTAGAGGAGAACATTATATCTCATGTTAGGCTGGGGTACCACAGACCCACCACATCATTGGTTTGAGTTGCTCCCCTACAAGACAACGTCACACAACCAGTTTTTTCCTCAATCGGACGGCTTCCTTGTTCTTTGTCATTTGTTAAGATGTTTTTCCTTATTCCCTCCAACCTACACTATTCGTTGCCATAAGCTGCGATGAACCAAAATGCATCCATGGTTCGCGCTTGTGGAACTGGACATCAGAGTGTGAGCAGAGACAAAATGAAGAACTGTTACTGGAGTAAAGCTAAACGAACGTGGGTTGTTTGTCAACAGTGTACTGGTTACTTCAAATAAGAAGGAAACATAGATGCGTAGCCCTAATCAAAAAGGGTTGATTTCCAAAACTGCATGGAGCGACATTAGCATCAAAGCCGAATAATCCACACTTAATCAGGAGAGAAATATTCAGTTAGTTGCACTTCTTCAATCGTAAAACCCATAATACGTGTAGTTCACGTTGCATTCAATGTAATCTCGTTTTTAATGAAGAATTGCCATGACAAGTTTCAGCACTGTGGTAGACGTGATCGAGACAAACAAAAGAGCCTGTAATGAACATGATCATCATCATCATCGACAGCGTGACATCAGTGTTCAACACCGATGCTTCACTGCCGTACAACCATGACTTATTTGAAAGCCTTATTGTAAAGGAAAGAGTAAAGGTGAACGGGGAAGGGACTTAGTGCTAGCTTACCACAATCATTCCGAGGTGCCCATAACTCCAGACACTCACTCAGGCGATCTGGATAGAAACTGACAACAAGAACGCCACTGACAT